ATATCATGAATTATCGGCAAGCTCGTTGGAGCATTTTTTTTGTCTAGATTCAATTTCAAGATCACTTATTGACCCAAAAAACAACAAGGTCTATCAGATGTCCTTTCTAGATGTGCTTTTTTTGCACCAAAAGAAAGAGATGCATCTTTTGATTAACAAAGATCAATTCTCTTAAAGCCCAAGCATTTTCATCTTCGAGCTATAAAATCAACATTGACTATTGATTCAATATTTGTGAAGTAAATTCAATTAATCATGTCCTTTAATCCTCTTGTTCAGGATATCAAGAATACTCCATGTAAGTCCCATGACTCTTCAAAGTTTGAGTTTAAGAACAACCTATTATACTTTGAAAATTACCTATATTTTCTTGAAGGTAAGGTACAATTATGTGTCCTTCAAGCTCGTCATGATTTTCCAACAATTAGACATTTTGGATACAACAAGACTTTGAAACTAATATCAAGAGATTTTTAGTGGCCTCAAATGTGGAAGGCACTCAAAGACTTTGTACAATCATGTGATACTTGTTCAAGATTCAAAACTCCTTGCCATCAATCTTACAGACTTTTTTAATCGTTGCCGATTCCAAAACAACCATGGTCTCTTGTTTCTATGGATTTTATCAAAGATCTTCTAGTCTCAAGTGCATACAATTTTATATTTGTAATTGTAGATTGCTTCATCAAAATGGCACATTTTGTACCATGTACAAAATCTATTTTAGGTGAAGAAAGAGTTAAGCTTTTCATTGACAATATCTATCGCTATCATGGATTATCAAAGGATATTATATTAGATAGAAGGACTCAATTTGTATCAAGATTTTGGAGAACCCTATTCAAGATTCTAAAGATAGATATAAAGCTTTCTTTAGCTTTTCATCCTCAAACTGATAGACAAATGAAATGGGTGAATCAAGTTTTGGAGCAGTATTTGAGATGTACCATCAAATATCATCAAGATGATTGGACAACTCTTTTATCATTGGCAGAGTTTGCATATAATAATTTGGTACATTCTTCTACTCAACAAATACTTTTCTTTACTAATTATGGTTATCATTCACGTCTTGATACTTTTGATTTTTCAAAATTTGATAATCTTGCAGTGCAAGATTTACCAAATCGTTTGTCAAAGCTATATAGAACAATAAAGATATAATTGAAGGAAGCTCAAGAATGACAAAAGACCAATGCGGATGCCTATTACAAGGAGCAACCATAATATAATATGGATGACAAGGTATGGTTACTTCGTCGTAATATCAAGTCTACTTGTCTTTGTGATAAATTGGATTATAGTAGGCTGAGACCTTTTCCTATTTGTGAACAAATCAATTCTGTTGCTTATCGATTATATCTATTGGAGTCTATAAAGATCCACTATATATTTCACGTGTCTCTTCTTCAGCCGTATAAGACAATAAATAACTTGGGAAGAAGACAAATGCCACCTCCTCTTATAAAAGTGGATAATAACCAAGAGTTTGAGGTGGAAGAAGTCTTAGACTCAAGGCGGTGCCGAAATAGGTTGAAATATCTTGTTCATTAGTGCAGATATGATATTAGTGAACGCACATGGGAGCCATGAAAGAATCTTGCAAATGCAATAAAGAAAGTTGAAGTCTTTCATCAATGACATCCATCAAAACCAAGATGAAGAATAACAAACCTTTGCTATAAAAGAAACAAGATCAAAGAAAAATAACATTCTACCTTCTATCTTTCATTGTAGCTTCTGTATATTTGTGATGTTGAAGAGATGGAGCACCAACAATTAGCAGATTCAACTCAAGAGCTTTCTTTTGCGGACTTACTAGACGAGACATTGTGATTGTTATAACCTTTAAGACTACAAAATTGAGATAAAGACCACTCCTCGTGGAACTCGTGTCTAGAAGGGGGGGTAATATCATGGACATATATATTTATACCAATAGTTACTTATATGATTAAGTAGAAGTAGGAAAATATAGACTAATTTCATAAAGTCTTCTAGAAAAGCTTTCTAGAAGCTTCATAGATGCGATTTTGACTTTAGATGTATTTATAGGTTAGAAACTTGGCCAACAAGCTAACCATGTATTCGTAGCTTGTGGAACAAGTTATCTCGGTGTAGTAGCTTGTGAAACAAGCTAACTATGTCGCACATACATAAATAATTTGTCTTACACATTAAGACATGTGGCTAGTAAAGTCAACACATTTTGGAGGTTCTATAGGACATTGCTACGTAGCTCTTAGTTAGATAGTATATATGGATGCAAGAGTGAAGCCTTTTTCACTCTTATCAATGCCTTTCTAGTCTTACTCTTGTTTCAAGACTTTTTAATCTTCTTGTTTTTGACAATAGCCATTCTAATTAATATTACATCACATTTTGAGTGACTTTCTAGTTCTCTTCAATGATAGAAGAGTGTATTGAGAATTCTCTTTCTTTGAGATTCATGTCCCTGACACTATATTAGCTATTGGTCTTCCTATTTTCTACTAGTAAATTCCATAATTTTACATTTTTTACTTCACCATGGTCTTTAAAAACATCCAATTAGCTTGAGAACTTTCTATGGCCTTCAAATCTTGCTTCATTTCTTCATAATGGCTCTCAAAGTGATAAAACTCATTTTTACCAAAGTATTCGAAATTGCTCTACAAATTTCTAAAAAAAATTAAAGAAATTCTAAATAAAATTTAAATTTTTTTATAATAGTTCAATAATACTAATATTAGTTTAAGGCTATAATTTCCTATCTTGATAATTTTTATAGTAATAAAATCAATTTAAATCTACTATAAATCTTACTTTCTATATAACTAACTAAAAAGATATGAGGTTCTTTCTCATGCTTCTTCTAATTACTAATTAATATTTATAGTTTTTTTTTATAAATACTATATATAGACAAAAGTTTAATGTAAATATTGATCTTAATAAATATTCCTCAATTCTCAATGGTAAATAAAAAAAATACTAAATCAATTAAGATAATTACCTCCAAGACTTACTAAGATTCCAATTCTACAACTAACTCTCTAATTTTCTATTTGTCTAAAGATTTCTATACTATTCATAATATATTATGGTTCTAAGTACTCTAAATGCATCTTTTTATTCTAAAACAACTATTGAGTTGATTTGATGATTCACAAATTTTAAAAAAATTCAAGTATATATTAAGTTTGTTCATTGGGTTCTTTAGGTATAGAATGCAAACACACATTTATACATAGATGGTGGTGCATTTGAATTCTTTATAGTTGCATTATTATTGACTAGTATTTCTATTTTTTACTTGCTAGATTAGAAATGGTATAAACTTTTTGCCCAATAATGAAGTTACACTTCTTAAATATTCGATTTTTCATCAACAATTAATGTCACTAGTAGATGTTGTTTATCCAAGATTAGTAGAAGATGGTGTAGCAAATGATGTTTCTTTTAGAAATAGAATCATTTTATATACACAAAATGATAATGTAGAAGATATTAATGAGAAGATTATGGCCATATTTTCTAAAGAAGAACAAGAATATCTATGCGCTAATGAAGTTGTTGTCAAAGATGGTATCAACAACAATAATATATATCCAGTCAAATTCATCAAGTCACTTAATCCATCTAGAATGCCCAGATTAAGACTTTATCTCAAGATTAAGTCTTTGGCGATGCTACAAAGAAATATTTTTCATTGCTAAGGACTTTATAATGGAATCCAATTGGTAATTACATAACTAATGGATTAGGTTCTTGAAGCAAGTATTATAATAATATTTATATAATAATCATATGTATTATAATTCTTGAAGCAAGTATACATATAATTATATATGTATTTGATATTCTTAAAGCAAGTATTATAATATATATGTATATAATAATTATATATCATATAATAATATCATGTCCTTGAAGCAAGAATTACATAACATATTAATACATAATATAAAGATATTAATATAATATTATATATTTGGTTCAATTGTATATTAGATTTTAGATTATAATGTTACATTAATGTTATGACATTTTTTTGATATCATAATAGGTTTATAATATGTTGTTATGAATGTGGGTTCACCTAGATGAGCCTTGTGAATTCCCTATGAATTCTTTGTGAACTCTTTGTAAATTCCACTTGAATGCATTCAATTTCAAAAATGTTGAAAAGAAAAAGAAAAAGAAATAAAATAAAATAAAAAAATGAACAATGTGATTTCCTTGTGAACTCCATTTGAGTTTTGGTCAAGCTTTTGCTTCCTTTCAAACTCCAGATAATCTTAAGTTTATTGATGAAACCAAGAAGGGTACATGTAGTGAGTAAGAGCCACCACTTGTCTCCTCGAACAATCTTAATATATAGATATATGTGTTTGTAATTTTAGTATTTTGAATCGAGAATTTACAATGTCAACATTTTTAGGATTCTTTTAAAAATTAAAATATATTAAATTTATTCTACACATTAAATTTTGGATTAAAAAAAACATATAGTTAGTCTTATTTAATTATTAATATGTACTATTTTTTTATCTTATAAATAGTTGTGGTAATAATATTATTAAAAAAACAATAAGAAAAAAAAGTATAAAAATACTCAACAAATTATAAATATCAACAATAAAGTAATTAATAATTTTATTTAATAGATATATCTATGTATATATTCTTAGAGTTAGATTGTGACCTCAACTACTAAAGGAATGTAACTTTCAAACACATAGTATTATCACAAGTCTTTTCAAATTTCTCTAAGATTTTAGATCTACATAGCTTACATTAACTAAAATACAATTAAATGACCTATTTTCCTTTTTCAAAAACTAATACCATCCATCTTTTTCTTCACTACCCACAATTTTCATTGTACTTGTTTTCTACTCTCATTACATAAAAGTTTTTTAGAATATTATCACGACTATTCACAAATCCACAAATCCAACCCTAACTGAAGCTGCAGTATCAAAGATTGCTGTTTTAGCATCAAAACCCTCAGTTTTCCCCCACAATCAACAAGTCGTGGTTCGCACCGGAAGACCCACGTTTCAGGAAGAGACGGGTTTTGCTTCTTCGGGATCAGTTTTAGGGTTTAGCAATCCCACACACACAACAAATGCACCCCTATTCTGTCCATTGAACCATCGTCATCTTCATCTCTATCTCCATCTCCATGTCTGAGGAATTTACATCCCACGCAGGCCAAGTTCGGAATCTATGAAGGTGCGTGAGCACATCTGCTAATGCATTCAACAGATGAGCTTGTAATTCAGCTGGTCTCCTTCACACAGATGATCGACGGTGTAATTTTCTTGAGTTTTGGACGATGGGTTGTTGGGGTTTTGCCTGCTTTTCTGCAGAGTCCGTGTCTTTTTTGAACCCGTCGCCAGAGATTCACCGAATTCTCCGTGTTTGTAGTTGTAGAAGGTGATTTGCTTGATTCATGATCACATTCCCATTCTAGTTCTGTTGTTGTTTCGTGACTTTTGCCCTCGTGGTTAGGGATGTTGTGGCCTTAAGCATCACACATTACTTACGAGCTGGAGCCGTTTGTTTACTTGCTGTGTGTTGCAAATGGATTGAACCACTCGGGAAATTGTTGTGTGTTTCGATGGTTAGCAGCACCGTGAATGGAGCGATTTTGAGGATTTTGGTGGAGGAGGCTCTAACGCAAACATGCATCGCAAGCGGAGGGGCGCGCGAGAGACATCCCCCGATGTGCTTATTGCACAGCCTCCCATCGATAATTCCTACCCGCAATTACCTCCCGGTGTGCCAATAGCGAGAGGATTAATTAGTGAGTCTAGTTTTGCTCCGAACTCTAGCCATTTTCGAAGTGATTCAAGGTTTCCTCCAGGCTTCGACTACAGACATAGTTTTCATGAAGTCAAGATGATGTTTCAGGAGTCTTTGAAAGGATCATCAGGGGAGGGAGTTTGGGCTCTACCCCATATTCAGGAGTCTTGGGAGATCACCTCAGATAGGCCGTTTCTTCCACGGAAGAGATCACCTCCTCGTGATGCTAACATCACGAATTCCTCTAGTCGGATTTCTAAAGGAGATAAACGAGGTGATAGAATTGAGGAACCTTGTGGCCCGTCGCTGAGCCCTCGAACACTCGCTTCAGCAGATGGTCCCATCGCACAGGACACGTCTCAGGGAAGAGCAATGCAGTTGTTGCCCACCGGGAAGAAGAATAAAACGAAGAAACAGAGTGCTGAGAATATTCAACCAGCTTGTGCAGGTCCTCCTTCTATTCGGCGTTTATTAATAAATCGCAGTTTGTACAGTACTCTTTCAAACACTTTTTTTCAAAGTTGCTACCCTTTACACTTACATGGGATTGATCAAAGACAGCAAGATTCTTCATGTTTTTTGCACAACATATGGATTGGTAGTTCTAGTAGACTTGAGCTGGTCAGTCTTTATTATTTGCAGAGCATTCTTACGTTCAGATGCATTAGTGTAACTAGAGCACAAACTGTGTTTTCAATTACAGTCAAATAGTTGTGGTAATCAGTACGTTACAGTCAAGATAGTCGAACTTACTACGGATATTTTGTGTTTCTGGATATGCCTTTACTTTAATTTCTATTCTATCACGCACCTACTGCAGATCCCATTGTATTACCATCATCTGCTGAAGAGGCAAGGTCACTTGCCCCTGACTCTAGCAGCCTAGGAGAACCTTCTAGCATCCCAGGAGTACCTCTTGTTTCTCGTTCTAGCATCGGTGGGAGACCCAGCATCCTAGGGGAGCCCCCTGTTTCATCGTCTGGCGCAGCTACAACTCACAAACAGGTTACTGTAGATATTAGTGCGGAGCAAGCTACAGAATCCTGCCACAAGTTGCGGAACAAACTCAACATCGCAATGCAACATCGGGAAAGGTACTTGTATTGCACGCAGAGATATGACGTATCGTAGCTCCTGTGATTGGTTTATAGTTTCAGTTAACTTGTCAAGCTGGGTTTGAATGAATTGCATTTGCAATCAACAAGTGTCAAGTGGTGCTTTTTGCAGGTTCCTGAAGGAAAGGGAACGAAAGTTCACCCAAAGCCTTATGAAGAAACAAGTTTTGGAGGAGGAGATGAAAGAAATTGCTGATATGCAGAATGACGTAATGGAAGAACAGAGATTACTAAAAGAGGAGGTAACACACAGTACATATTACAGTCTAGATCCTCAAATCATTGATGTTTAATCTAAATGAACTATGTGGTGCAGTTAGTGTTTTCGCACTCAACTTTCTATTGCTTAAGTGTAGGGCTTTGTATGTAGTGGGTTTTTGCAGTCAGTCCACACAGATGTCCTTTTACAATTACCTCAGTCAGTGGGCGGAAACTGTGTTGGATTAGGAATCATCCCTAGTCAAGCTTGTATATTTGATTGCGGATGTCTCCATTTACTTTATTTTATTTTATTTTATTTTTTTCATTTTTTTCCTTTTCGTTGTTTAAACGCTTTTTCGCATTGGTTTCTTTGGAAATTTAACAGGAACAAAGAATAAGAAAGGAGAAGGAGGCTATTGAACGCGCAAGCATTGATATTGCTGTGCAGGTTCGTGTCTTTCGTTAACCTACACAATTGGGAGTGTATCTATTCCTGTCAATATGCCTTTAGCTATCTCCAATGACTATTTTTGGATATTTAGTCTCTAAAATTCTGACATCTTTTTCTCTTTTAGAATGAGATTATAGGCTTGTGATTATCTTTTTCAAAGCCAAGTTACCATTTGGGTGCAGGGTTTTGTCTTTTGAAATATGAGTGTTAGTGGGGATCTTATTGTGAGGCGGCGTGACATGCAGATGACCGAGCTTAAGCAATTGCAGATGCAAATTGAAGAAGAGAAGGTGCGGAATTGATTAGTCTAATTTTGACTGTTGAGTTCAGAGATTTTAACCGTTTGAATAAGTGCTGGAGCATTCGCTGGATACATTACTGGCAGACAAAAGTGATGTGATTCTGTTTAAAGATGACGTGGTAGTGCTAAGGAGAACGTGTGTATAATCCTATGTAGATGAAGTCGTTATTGCTGTATTTGGCTTCACTAATTTCATATTCCTTTGTTTTCTGCAGGCAGCTGTTTTAGCTTTAAAAGCAGAGCTTGGTGTTAGTGAGAGGTGTTCACAGGAGCGGGATCATGTCGAAACCACTGTAGATACATATCTTAGTGCAGTCAAGTTGAAAATTGACAAGTCATCTGTTAATTTGCGTGTTAATTCTAGTTGTGGTCCAAATATCAGCTCTGAACCCGGTGCAATACAAAGTGGGATGCATAATCAAGAACCAGGAAAGGCAATGGTCAATTCAAAGTTATCGCCTGCGGTTAGTCACAGAAATTTCAAGTCCGCGAAAGCCGAGCCTGTGACTCCAGAAGCAGATGCTGCACATGTAGATAAAACGAATAACAATGACGATTCCAGTAAGCTGTTTATATCAGACCTTTTGCATCGTGTGTTGAAGCACGTTTTATTTTTCTGAGTGCATCTGTTACCTTTCCTGTTCGTTCTTCATATCTTTTTTAAGGCCTGCAATTTTACTTGTTTTTTGTACTTTTCTTTTTTGGACGACGCCTAATCCTCGCATACATAGTGGCGTGTGCATTCAAAATTTCTTATTTTTTTCGAATCGTGTAGAATCTAAAAGTTATAAACCTACAATTATTGCGCTCATTTGCGATTGCTGTGATGTTTTAAATACTTGAATCAAACCACCTGGGATTATGTTTCAGGTGATGATGACATGGATGACGTTCCATTGGCTACTAGGCTCTCAAAACAGCGAGTTGAAAAAGTAAGAGAGAAGAGAAGATCAGCGGAGGAATCAAATCAACACGAATTTTCGAACGTAGAATCTTCAAAGCGAAGAGCAGACGTAAAGAGAGAACCTCTGTTGTTGGGAGGCAAGTCATCGTCACATGACATCCATGCGAAGAGAAATAAAGTGTACGTGTCTTTTAAGGAGATAATTTTACTTGCTAAGTAATTTTTTTATATATATAAAGTTCTATGAAATTTCCCGTTTCCTATTAGTCTCTTTAAGAGAAATTTGTATGGAGGACAACTTCAACTACCCAGAAAGAGGAGTCCTTACTTTGCTTTAATTTCCATGCAGATCAATTGAAGTTGCGTTACAAGAAGATGCACCCGGCCTTCTGGAGGTTAGTCCCTCGTGTTCCTTAATGTTGCAAAGCTCTGATACAAGGGTTTATGTAGTAAGTGAGTATTAAGGATGCAGGTGTTATGGGCGCATATGCTGTCTGTTGTGATGCTGTAACCTACATCTTATATTGATAGGGAGTTAAATGGACCATATCATCTCACTAAAGAGCTTTTGTTTGCAGCAATTGGAAGAAAGAGGTCTGCTCGAGGACATGGACGTCTATGAAGATTTGGAGATGGACGATTCTCTAGCCACAGAGAGCCCTGGTTGTGGATTTGGACAACTTGAGGGCGTTATCGGCAAAGTATGCGAGCTTTATCATACAACCGAGTGTGGAATGCCTTAACTTTATTTCTGACATGTAATTTGGCTAACATATGTATTTTTGGTATGTATAGGCTTGGGGGTCTTCTTCGGGGCTTGGGAAGGATCTTCTACCTCCTAAAGTGCAGCAAGGGTCAGGCATCATGCCTCGTTACTGCCTTGCCTGTCTACTGTCGTTGATTGAGCAGGCACTTTTCTGACCTATAACCCTTCACCGGATTTTTTTTTTATTGGCCTGCATGAGTAGATTACGAAGTAAATATAGTTGAATATGTGAATCTTTAACGGAAGATTTTGGAGGTTTACAATTTGCCTAACTCGCCATTTTTCTGAAATGATAGACAAGATTATTGCGCAAGAGAAAATGGCCAGTGGAGTGGGGTTGGAGTAGACGCCTGCGTGCGTTTCTATTTGTGTTTGAAAAACACAACAGGTTTTTCCTTGATACTCCTTACAGTTGTAGTGAATAATTTTGTCTCAACTGTCTGCGCTTAATGAACATGTAAACACAATTCTTCCCTCCTTAGTTTCTTGCTGTTCGTCCTTGTCTATTTGTTTACGTACATATCAAAATTGTACATTTAACTTGTTATCAACTCTGTTCCAAACTGTAGTGCATTGCTTTTCGCAGGATTGTGTTGGAGCGTCCTGAGTATGGGTATGCAACATACTTTTTTGAGTTGGTGCAGGGATTACCTGTGAAATGGCAAGTGCAGCGATTGATCGCTGTTATGAGCGTGGCAACTACTGGTCGTGCAGCTCTTCTAGACAACCGCCAGCTTGTGGTAAACTTAACACAACCATTTGTATTAATCATTCTTGTTTGCTATGACTAGATGAACATCCGTTACCTCTACAAAGGGCCATGGACCTCTTCGAATTCAACAATGCTTTTTGAAAGTTATGTACGTGCAGTTGCTTGATAACTACTTTTCTGTGTACCTGTTGATGGGAGCTCTGTCATGTCCTCTTCCGGATATTGTGTTAGCTTGCAGTAGCAATTCAAGTTGGTTAGTGTTATGGAATTCAGAGAAAACTAAACGAACGTGTGGATTCTCCAAATCAGGTGGGTGTCGATATTACACAGGAAGAGGCATCTATTTTGGAAGATTATGGATGGAGCTGGGGGAGCGGGTTGGGTTCTCTTCTCAACTTCTGCCATCGTGTGGTACATGACTATAACAAAGGGCAGGACTCAGCTGACCTTGGAAACGAGTGGAAGCAGAAAATAGGGAAGCTGCTTATGGACGGTTACGACCAAGGCAGAATGATTGTAGGCTCCATACCAAAAAAATTGCCAAGGAATCCTGGAAATCATGTGCTTGAAACTGATCCCTCGCCCGGCTTGAACGTGAAAACCGAGCTACCTTGGTCATCAAATAATGTATGAGGGGTGTATCCATGTCCATTTGTCATCATATATTGGTTATTTCAAACATTGTGATCAGACCAAATCACTGGCTGAAGCTCTAAAGCACAAAAGTCTTTAATGTTACGAAGATTCTAGTGAACAATTTCTGGTCTAATTTTAATGGTCTAAAGTCCAACCAAACTATAGACTATGAGCTTAGTTCTTATTCTGTAGGCTTGCAGTTGGTGTGGGTTGGTTGTATCAAATTTTATGATCATTCAAGTGTATTCATTGTTTCATATTAAGGTGTATATACCACTTTTGGTCTTGGAAAAGTAAACTCATTTGACTTCTTTGATTTGTTATTATCTTTGATGTGATCCTACCACCATTTTGATTGTTACTTCCAAATCTTTGGTTGATACATCTTTGCAACTACTATTGTTTTATAGGGTCTTTTAAAAAATTTCTTAAAATTGTTTTCTACTAAAATTGTTTTTTTTTTATCATATACCTATTTTATTGTATCTTCTCAAACATACATCTATCAATATCAAGAGAGTTTCTCAACTATCAAGAATAATGAGTTTGGTTTCATAAAACCTAAAATATTAAGACATTTCTTTGGTTGGTATTGCTAAATGAAGGTGCAAATTGTTGTAATGCAATTTTATACAATAAGTAATATTTTTTTTTTTTTTTAATTATTTTTTCCATTGCAAAGCAAGTATTCCAAGATACTTATTAATTTTGTTTATTTATATATTTTTTTAAAGTATTGGTTAAATTTTAATCAATATATTATTAATATTGGATTCTAAAATATATATATATATATATATATATATATATATATTAGTAGTTTTTTTTAAGATCTATTTCAAAAAGAAGTGTCTGCCAAGACATCAATCTCAAAGAACCAAAAATTCAATATACTTTTGTATAATTCAAAAAGAATAGATATTCATTCATAATTAATATAGAATTGAAGCTAGAATGGCTATTCCTAAAGACAAGAAGATTAAGAAGTCTTAAAACAAGACTAAGAACTAGAAAGGCATCGATATGAATGAAAAAGGCTTCACTCTTGCTTCTATATATACTATCTAATTAGAAACTATATGGCAATATTCTATAAGACCTCCAATACATGTCCAATTTGCAAGACACATGTCTTAACTTGCAAAGCAAGTTTCCTATAAATGCACCACATTGTTAGCTTGTACCACAAGCTATCAACATGTGCAATACATGGCTAATTTGTTGGCCAAGTTTTTCACCTATCAATCACTTATAGACACGTATAAAGATGAAACTGCATCTATGAAGCTTCTAAAAATCTTCCCTACAAGATATTATCAAACTAATATATTTTTACCTACTCACAATATCTAAGAAATTATTGGAGTAAATATATATATATATATATATATATATATATATATATATTCGTGACAATGTCATCTCCTTCTACAATCTTTTGGATTGAGAACACATTATGTCACAATTTTTTCTATTTTTTAAAAATTCTATAATATATATTATTAGTCTTTTATTTTTTTAAAGAATAATATGGTAAAATAAGTTACTAATATATAATATTAATTTCTTATTTTTAAAAATAACTATCAATATAAAAAATTAATTTTATAATAAAACTTTTTTGTATTTTTGTATTTTTTATTTTAACAACAATTGGACTTTATCATTTATAGAATTGGATTTAATAATTCTTTCAATTTTTTAATTTTTTTAATAATATATATATATATATATATATATATATATGCATATGTTTTTTTTTATATTTTGTATATTTCTAAAATTATTTTTATTAAAAAAATAGTATTAATTAAATATGTATCTTTTATTTTTGGATATATTATTTACATTATTATTTATCACAATAGTTAACCATATTTGAACTTACATCTATTGCATTAATACAAAGTAGTAGTCAACTTTGATAGTATTAATAAGTAAGAATATTAGCAATAATTCTTGTATTTACAATAATAATAATTTATATCAATTGGTAATACTTTTTGGTAAAAATATACTCTAAATATTTAATATCTCTTAACTAATATTCCTTGCTTGATAACATTTGCTCATATGGATGTAATTCTTAAGTTATAAACTTATAACCTTGATTTTTTTTTATAATTAATTAAAAAAATAATAATAAAAAAATTTAGTGATAAAATTTTTAATCTTTGATAATTTTTATTTTAATGATTTTGGCAATATTTTACAAAAATATTGGTCAATAGTGGAGTTCATAGGCACTTTTTGTGCACTACATAGATTTAATCTTTTATTTTGAAGAAGTTTCAAAAGATTTGCAAGTTGATGTTTATTCCAACATCAGCATTTTTAAGTTCTTGGAGTATTGAATATAATATAAGATGTTTCATATTCGTCTTTGGCTTCATTTCCATAAGATTGATGATTTTTAAATCATTGTTGGATTTAGCTAAATTAACTTTACTAAAATATAAGGATATTGTCAAATGTAAAGTGTACTGCATTGTTTTAGTATGAAAAATGAAGAAGAATGTTTAACATCTTTTTAACATTCAAATCTTATACTATTTATTCAAATTCTTTTTCAATGGTATCTATATTATTATCAAGTTTACCATTTTCATTTGCTCAACCAAGATATTGAGTCATCTTAGTTGTTTCCAACATTTCATAATTATCTTAAGAAATATATCATCCCATACATATCTTGTCCAATGCACTGCCTAAAATAAATTAATCTTACAAGTATAATTAGTCCAAATTTCAAATTTTTAAAGAAAAAAACATATTTGAATACAAATATTAATACTTTTCAAATACAAAAATCAACATAATAATTTTTTATTTTATTCTTTATATAAGAAGAAGTGATAGAATATATTTTGTTCATTAAAACATGTCATTCAAAAACTTGATTTATTTTTATTTTTATTTTTGTTTTTTGTAATTTTGATATCAAAGATATGAACCTTGAAAAATTAAAATGTCAATTTACTCTTATATCACTCAAAAAGACTAAAAAAATCACTCAAAGGTAATATAATATTAAACTAAAATGACTATTGCCAAAGATAAGAAGACTAGAAAGTCTTGAAACAAGACTAAGGACTATAAAAGCATTGACAAGAATAAATAAGACTTCACTCTTGCCTCCATATATACTCTTAACTAGAAGATATGTAGCAATGTCTTATAGCACCTCCAAAATGTGTTGACTTTGTAAGACACATATTTTATTTTATAAGGTAAGTTTTTTATATGTAGAGCACATAATTAGCTTGTTTATAAGTTATCAATATGTGTTTAATTAGTTGACCAAGTTTCTAACCTACCAATCAACTACAAATACATATAAAGTCAAAGCAATATCTATAAAGCTTCTAAGGAGCTTCTTTAAGAAATATTATGAAATAAATTTATTTTTGTTTGCTTCTATTTAATTATATAAATAAATATTAGGATAAATATGTAAGTTTGTGATATCACCTTCTCTTTTAGGAACAAATTCTATAAAGAGTCATTATCATATGTTGAGAAAATCCAAGATGTAAAGAATTGTGTTTGTCACATATTATGATTTTTGTTTTGTTTGAAGATGGTAGATAGGCCTTTTTAGACATTGATAATATCCTATACCAAGGTAGGAAGATTACCATGTTATTTTATTATTATTGAGGCTTTTATAACTTCCTTCAAATAAAAATATTTGAAACATCTTCAGAAGTTGTTTCTACCTCTAATAAAATCACCAAACATTAGAAGTCTTTTCGAAGGTTGTGATATCAAATACAATGTATTTTGCTATCTATTCGAAGAAAGACATGTTGTTCTTGAGGATCGTCATCTCGATTACATTATCTTGAAGGTTGTGACAATTATAATGTCTCATATAATAAGTCAACAAATAATAGCTCTTGACTTAAATTTGCTTGTTGTTGGTTCTCTATTTCTTTAATATCATAGATTTATAATAGTTATAAACAAGAATAAAAGATAGAATGTTATAGTGACTCAAAAAATTGTTTCAATGTTGACATATTTTAGAAAGAATGGTATATTATAGATGAATTGTAGAGAATAATGATACGTGGTTTGTATAGCAAATAAAGTTCTCTTTTACAACTATCAAATAAATCTAGGTTGAAAAGAATCCATCAAATAATTGTTGAGTTATAACGAATCTAATTTGAAACAATATTAAAACATTTTTTTGAATATGATATCCAATGTCATGGATATACAATTGAAGAAGGTTTGAGAAGGTTCTAAGAGATTTTAGAAGGTTCTAAGAAAGTTCTTATAGATCCTAAAAGATTCTAGAAGGTTCCAAAAAGTTCTAATAGATTCTAAGAAGATTCTAGAAGATTTCAATAGATTCTAAGAAAGTTCTAGAAGGTCATAGGAGACCCTAGAAGGTTCTAGGAGGCTTTAGATGTTTTAGGAAGTTGTTAAAGAAGGATCTCAGGCTTATTTTGTTCCCAAGCCTCATGGAAACTTCTTTAGAAGCTTCCTAAGACCCAGTATATATAAGAATCAAAGTTGAAAGGATCCTCAGTTTGAACAACTTACTTTTTGTGGTCTAGTTAAGACCTTCTTGCCTTGTATCCAGTTATTATTTTAGTGTCAAGTTAATTCCATTTCTTGGTCTTGAATCCTTATCTTATATATGGTCCTAAATAGTTTGTCGAGACTGCCATAAAAAAATATTAGAAGCTTGGTCTTTTTTGAAAGAGAGTGAATTACCCCTCTTCTTGAAAATACTATAGTATTCTAGAGGTTGTAGATTAACTTTTCTTAAAGTAATATTATTCTTTTATTAATATTTTTTTGATTTTTTTAATACCATAGATCATGTTTTTTTTCTTTTGAATGCATGTGTTTCTCTGATTTTTTTTTAGCAAAAGGTAGAAAAGTCAATATGACAGACTCTAAAGAGATCAAATTGGATTTTATTATTGATTCTCTTGAAGCATTGAGGACTAAGACAGAGACTTTGCCAAAGCAAAATGAAGAACTATATATGACCATATATAATGGTTAAGGAGCTAGAGTGCCTCAACAACTACATCAAATGGCAATAGAGGTTCCAAACTCTCAAACAACTATATCTCCTTCAATAAATATGGGAGGTGCATCCACTCAAGGCAATGATTTGACAACAATAACAGCAAAAGAACCAAGGATCAGCCTTCCAAAAAAGATCAATGGCACTCACTCAAAATTTCGTGGCTTTGTGAATCAGGTACAAGTAATCACCTTGCTTCAACCTCAATGATATTCTATTGAAGCATCTTCTGTTAGTTTGGTTGGAACCTTGCTCTCAAG